AGAGAGGACAGGAAGGGGAGGGCGGGGGAGGGCAGGGTCCTCCCGAGCAGAAGCCCCTCCCTGCCCAGTCCCTTCCTGCAAGCAAAGAGGAGGCTGCTTTGTTCTCTCTGCTTTGCAAAAGCTTCCTCGGTGCCCCTCCTGGAATCTGGTGAGTCTCTTCTCTCTTCCCCCTTGGGGTGCAGCGGGGAGAAGGGGGTCCCAGGGCTGCAAGGGAGGAGGCAAGGGGCCCCCCGTTCAGCTCATGCGTGGAGGGGGAGACCCCCAAGTCAGGGAGCAGAGGGTCCTGCCCCCAGTTCCTCTCTGCCAAGCCAGGGAGGGGCTGAGTGTCCAGCAGGTCTGCAACTCTGTTCTTCCTTTGGATCAAGATGCTGCCTTCCTTTTTGGGGAGGAGTCTTTGGGGCAACAAAAAGAGGGCATGCAAATAATCCCCCTTCAGATTGAGGGGAAAGTCGCATTTCATAACACAGAGAAGCATCCAAGGACTCCGAGGAAGGAGAAGCCCCGTGGAGTGGGGAGATACAGCCCCCCCCAAGTGTGGAGACTAGAGGGGAGACCCTCTCCCACCACCTACCCACCTACAATTCCCAGAGTTCCATGGCAAGAAGGGTGGATTGGAGACCACTCTGGGAATTACAGTCTTTGGACAGCATTGACATCTGATGGGAGCGTGTTCCACAGGGAGGGCGCCGTTACCGAGAAGGCCCTCAGCCTGCTTCCCTGTAACTGCTCTTCTTGCACTGAGGGAACCGCCAGAAGGCCCTTGGTACTGGACCTCAGGGTCCAGGCTGAATGATGGGGGTGGAGATGCTCCTTCGGGTATCCTGGGCCGAGGCCATTTAGTGCTTTAAAGGTCAGCACCAACACTTTGAAAGTAGATCCTTTAGGAGCGGTCTTACATGGTTCCAGCAGCCACTCCCAGTCACCAGTCTAGCCTCCACATTCTGCAGAACACTAAGTGAATGACACAGAAGTTGCTGCAGACTAAAGTTAGAAAAGTTTTCATTGCTACAAATGGTATAAGGAAACATGATACGGAATTGAGGGAAAAGATGATGGTGACCTGGAGTGGTTTCAAAATTTCTGGTCTCTCCCCGAGTGCCACGGGCCCTGCTCCAAAGAGAGCTTCTCTAAAGAAAGCACAACTAAAAAATCACTCCATTTTGCGTGAATAAGGAAAATGAGGAGGTGGCTAAGAAACAGCAGGAGCCAGATCCTATTCCCAACCTTCTAGGGTCTCTCAGCAGCAATAATGATGAGCAGAAATAGGTTTGGGGCCCAGCCAGCTCAACTGCTAAGTCATCTCTTGCATTGAGATGTGGGGGCACCCACATGTAATAGCTACTCGGCTGTATTCTGCCCATGCTCTGGGGCTGCAGTTTTCAGGCTTGGGGACAGGATGGTGCCTGGTTTTTGCACCAAGTTCTATCCATAAGCCCCACTGAGTTCAATGGGGTCCACTCTCAGGTCACTACTGTGCATACCATGCCAGCCTTACGAAGTGGGGTGAGGTGCCAACAGATTAAATTGGAACCACTGGAGATGTTTCAAATGGGGTTTCTGTTGGGAAGGGGCTGCCCCATTTGTGCTTCTCCAGGAGCAGGGGAATATCTAGGGCAGGAGAATTCCTGCAGGGCCTCTGAGGCTTCTTTTGTTTCTTCCTCTCTCCAAGGACCCTGCAGCTTGTGGTGGCTTCTCGACTCCTCAGGAAGGATGAAAGAGACTGAATCTGTAAACCTAGCGAGGATGGAAGGGGGAAGATGGACAGTTGACCTGGTCAGGTTGTCTCCTGCATCCCTCCTCACAGCCTCTGAGCGTTCCCTCCCAGGGACCTCCAAGAGATCTGGTGAGTCCCAGGGGAGGGGAGATGGGGACATGGATGGATGGGGCTGGAGAGGTACTGGGGCTTGCCCATTTTGGGGGTGGGATGAGGCAGGCAGGCGGATGGAGACTGAGAAGGTGGGCACCTTTTCGGTCTCCTCCACCTACCTGCCTGCCTTCCTGCGCCTTTGACATCTGCGGGGAATTTCAGCTAGGAATACATCACAGCTCCCCGGCCACCGCGATGTATTGGTGCCAGTACTGTGCTCTGAATGCCCTACCAATGTCAGAGAACTCGCTGATCCATCACGCAGCACTAGAAGCCATGATTCTTTAAATTACCTGATCCTAATTTCAGGATTGACTGCAGATGGGGCCTCTGTGTTTCACCTTTTACTTTTCTTTTAGGAATAACTTTTCATTTTTTAAAAAAAACAAGGATCATATAGGACTAATATATGATACAAATATGTAGACTGAGTCTTCTCAATCTTCTCATATGACTCTCAAAACTAGCAGAATAAATTTGCAGGAATATCTATAACATATGGTTTATCATTAGTGGTCAGTGTATGAGTTCTGAGTTCATGAATTGGTTTAAATCGGGGGGAGGGAGGAGAGATAGGAGAGAACAGAGCAACAGAATAAGTGACTGATCCATTTCTTTTTGGAATAACTTTTTATTGCTTTTAAAAACAAGGATCATAGAACTAATAAATGATACAAATATATAGACTCATTCTTCTCCTGTCATTTGTATATCTCGAAACTAGCAGAATAAATTTGCAGGAATAACATGTCGTTCCTCGTTGGTGATCAGTGTATGAGTTCTGGGTTATTGAATTGGTATAAATTGAAAAAAAAAGGGTAAACAGCGGAGAACAGAGAACATTCAACATCGCATAGCCGAATTCCTAGTCAGAAGCTCTTCTGGCCGTTGTGCTTAGATTTTTGTTGTTGTTTAGTTGTTTAGTCGTGTCCGACTCTTCGTGACCCCATGGACCAGAGCACGCCAGGCACTCCTGTCTTTCACTGTCTCCCGCAGTTTGGTCAGACTCATGCTGGTAGCTTCGAGAACACTGTCCAACCATCTCGTCCTCTGTCGTCCCCTTCTCCTTGTGCCCTCCATCTTTCCCAACATCAGGGTCTTTTCCAGGGAGTCTTCTCTTCTCATGAGGTGGCCAAAGTATTGGAGCCTCAGCTTCAGGATCTGTCCTTCCAGTGAGCACTCAGGGCTGATTTCCTTAAGAATGGATACATTTGGTCTTCTTGCAGTCCATGGGACTCTCAAGAGTCTCCTCCAGCACCATAATTCAAAAGCATCAATTCTTCAGCAATCAGCCTTCTTTATGGTCCAGCTCTCACTTCCATACATCACTACCGGGAACACCATGGCTTTAACTATACGGACCTTTGTTGGCAGGGTGATATCTCTGCTTTTTAAGATGCTGTCGAGGTTTGCCATCACCTTTCTCCCAAGGAGCAGGCGTCTTTTAATTTCGTGACTGCTGTCACCATCTGCAGTGATCATGGAGCCCAAGAAAGTAAAATCTCTCACTGCCTCCATTTCTTCCCCTTCTATTTGCCAGGAGGTGATGGGACCAGTGGCCATGATCTTCGTTTTTGATGTTGAGCTTCAGACCATATTTTGCGCTCTCCTCTTTCACCCTCATTAAAAGGTTCTTTAATTCCTCCTCACTTTCTGCCATCAAGGTTGTGTCATCTGCATATCTGAGGTTATTGATATTTCTTCCGGCGATCTTAATTCCTGGCTTGGGATTCATCCAGCCCAGCCTTTCGTATGATGAATTCTGCATATAAGTTAAATAAGCAGGGAGACAATATACAGCCTTGCCGTACTCCTTTCCCAATTTTGAACCTTGAGATTAAGTGTGAGTAATAGTCATTTTCCCTCTTCTGTTACCAATTAAACTATACAGAGTTGGTCTCTTCATGAAAATGAGAGGAGATTCAAAGTGAAGAAAGATATTTAGAAAAAAAGTTTAAATTTAGACCAAATTTAGATTGAGGCAGCAGCTGATGGGGAGTGTGCAGGTGAAGATGTTCCTGCTTGTTTCAGAGGAGGCAGGGACGTTGCTGGATCCTGACAAGAGAGCTTTGCGTAAGGAAGTCAAGGAGAAGCATTATGGGATCATGGACCCTCTCGTTAAAATTCCCTGTTAGATCATAACATCAATTTTGAAATTCCATACATACCTCTATTTCAGGGGTGGCCAACTTCCAAGAGACTGCAATCTACTCGCAGAATTAAAAACTGGGAGTGATCCACCTCCGTTTTTTAGGGGTTCAGGTCAAAGTTGTTGAGCTTTTATTAGCAACTCACCAAAGGACGCTGGGGGGGGGGGACAGCCTCCAGCCTCGGTTTGAAAGCTCTGTCTTCCATTCTCCAACAATGGAGGGAGGATCTGGGAGGGGGTCAGCGATTGACTGCGATTGACCAAAACCTCGCAGGGATCTACCAGTAGATCGTGATCGACCTGTTGGACATCCCTTTTCTATTTGATGAACCTCCACTATTTAGATGGAGACCAACAGCATCTGGGATTCTAACATCCACACCGTGAGCCCTGAATGGAGGGATATCAACTGTTTTCTCTTTGTCTAGTCATGCCTTTTTAAATAATGACCAGGCTTGTCTGAACCACCCAGGCCTTCTTAAATGTGGGCTTGAGAGTTTTTAGGGAAGTTGAAATAACTTCTCTCAGGTTTGTTGTTTTGGCTTCTGTTTGCATTTGATTGACCAAAGAGATGACTGACCTTGAATATGGGGTGGATTCCATGATTGAGCCAAATAAAATCTATCCTAGATAAAAACCAAGCAATATGTCAGTTAATATCAGCCAACAAAGGCAGTGAAAACTATTGTAAGGCCTCACATCTAACTTCAGTCCTTCCTTTATCACAAGCATTCATTAACTTTGTTCAATAATGGATGTGAACCTCGTCCCCTTCGCTCTGAGTGGGGTTGGGGTCCGGGGCAGCGATGCAGAGTTAGCACGACTTACCCTAACATGGCAGTGCATTGCTGGGGGAGGGGTCAGGTGGTGGGTTTGATGGTTGTGTGTCATCTGCGCCCCGGTCACAGTATGCTGGCAGTGTGGCCCATTGGTTTCAAGAGAGTCTGGCACCCTCAGGCGTGCTCAAATGTTAGGGGGTTGAAGATGCCACACATCTACAATGCCGTTAAGTTAGACTTCAAGGCTGTCCTCTTGAGGCTGAAACGGAGCACTCTCAAGTCTCTTAGTGAGCTGGGGGCCTAGAAACTTTGTTCAATAATCTGGAGGTCCATTTCTTCCTGAGGCGATAATTAGCTTCTCTCTTCATTGCAGATGGTGATGAATGGGAAGGGAAAAACAAGGGGGACCACAACAGAATCCACATATTGGAGAAATCAAATAAATATTCAGAGTATGGAGAGAACATCGGCCAGAGCTCCCAGTCCACCGCCAATCAACAAAAGAGCTTCATTCGGAGGGATAGCCTCACTTCACATGAAAGAATTCACAGAGGAGAGAAATTGTATCACTGCAGAGAATGTGGAAAGAGCTTCAATCGGAAGTATAATCTCACTTCCCATCAAAGAATTCATACGGGGGAGAAACCCTATCAGTGCTTTGAATGTGGAAAGAGCTTCAGTCGCAGACAGAGTCTCAATTCCCATCAAAGAATTCATACAGGGGAGAAACCATATCAGTGCTTCGAATGTGGGAAGAGCTTCAGTCACAGATCACATCTCGCTTCCCATCAAAGAATTCATACAGGGGAGAAACCATATCAGTGCTTGGAATGTGGAAAGAACTTCAGTCACAGATCACATCTCGCTTCCCATCAAAGAATTCATACAGGGGAGAAACCATATCAGTGCTTGGAATGTGGGAAGAGCTTCCATCACAGCCAGAGTCTCACTTCCCATCAAAGAATTCATACAGGGGAGAAACCCTATCAGTGCTTAGAATGTGGGAAGAGCTTCAATCAGAGCAGCAATCTCTCTTCCCATCAAAAAGTTCATAAAGGGGAGAAACCCTATCAGTGCTTGGAATGTGGAAAGAGCTTCAGTCAGAGGAGCAGTCTCGCTTCCCATCAAAGAATTCATACAGGGGAGAAATCCTATCAGTGCTTGGAATGTGGGAAGAGCTTCAGTCACAGCCCCCATCTCATAATCCATAAAAGAATCCATACAGGGGTGAAACCCTATCAGTGCTTTGAATGTGGGAAGAGCTTCAGTCAACACCCCCATCTCCTAATCCATAAAAGAATCCATACAGGGGTGAAACCATATCAGTGCTTGGAATGTGGGAAGCGCTTCAGTCGAAAGGACAGTCTCAATTCCCATCAAAGAATCCATACAGGGGAGAAACCCTATCAGTGCTTTGAATGTGGGAAGAGCTTCAGTCAAAGCCCCCAGCTCATAATCCATAACAGAATCCATACAGGGGAGAAACCATATCAGTGCTTCGATTGTGGGAAGAGCTTCAGTCACAGCCAGAATCTCGCTTCCCATCAAATAATTCATACAAGAGAGAAAACCTCTTAGTGTTTGGAATGAGGGAAGAGCTTCAGTCAGAGTGCCACTCTCATGGCCCCCCAAATAATTCATACAGGGTTGAAAGCATATCAGCGCATGGAATGTGGATAAAATTTCACTCGTAAAAAAGTCAATTCAAGAACTCACAGCAGGGTAAATAATAGAATGGTAGATTCGGAATCTAGTCCAACCCCCGCCAATGCAGAAAAAAACTCATTTCAAGCATCCATGACAGATGGCCATCCAACTTCTTCTTAAATACCTCCAATGAAGGAGAGTCCACCCCCTTCTGAGGGAGTTCCTTTTCACTGCTGGCTCTTACTATCAGAATGTTCTTCCTGATCTTTAGGAGGAATGTCCTTGTGTGTTGGTTGAATCTCCTGTTCTGATGCCTTCAGGAGCTTGAGAAGGACTTCTGTAAGTCTGAGAATGTCCAGGGATTGGACCATGCTCTATATTCGGGGGGGAACTCATGGAGAGGAGTCCGATATAGGGCTTAAGTCATCTAGGCATTGGTCAGACTGTCATAATTACAGACATACTTACTGGTTTGGACGGAAGTGATTCTTATTCCGGGGAAGTGGTGACTGTGAGATTACAGGCGCTCTCACCAATATTATCCAACTGTTCAGTAAAACTTTGACACAGCGGACCAATAGTTTACCCGCTGAGGTCGAAGTATTGGGAGGATAGGTTTAGGGCCGTGTGGTATTGCTTAATTGTATGTGGGGTCCCTATAAAGGGAACTTCTTCCACTAGGTGGGAGGAGACTGGTCAAGTTACCATCAGATGAATGCAACATTCAAGTTAGATTTTTAAATAATGGATTTGCAGAACAAAACTCACAGTTTGAAAGGGAGTTATTAGGCTCCAGGGTTAAAATATTATCTAAAATGTTTAACATACTACTTGAGTCGGATACAAAGAATGAAATGATGAAATCATCAATGACAAGCTAGGCCATAGATGTAGATGGAGTTTTGTTTCTCCATCTTTTCATATCCTTTAGTATTTTATTCCATACCTTCTTATAGTTGAATTCTGCAGTCTTGTTAATATTTCTGCAGAGTTTGATGCCTAGGTATTTTATTCTTTTAGACCCCAGCCCATTCCTGTTATGTTGTTTATTACTTTTGTTTGTTACATTCACATTAAAATGCATTATTTCTGATTTTGTTATATTTACTCCTAATTCAGAATATTCCTCAAAATCTTCGAATATTATCTTTTATTCTTTTAGCTCTTCCTTAGGATTTGTTATGATTCCAATAATATCATCTGCAAACAAATTGATTTTCATCTCCTCTTTCCCAATCCTATAGCCCTCTATCCTTCCACAGTTCCTTATCCTTTCCGCTAGTTTTTCTATAGCCATTATAAATAGGAACGGCGAAAGAGGAAACCCCTGCCGAACGCCTCTGCCTATTGCGAAAGGTTGGGAGTATTTTCTTTCATTATACAGTTGCCCCTAAAGACACATTTTGCTGCATCCCAGAGGATTTCTGGAGTAACTGATCCTTTACTATCTTGAAAAAATAACCTGATCTGATTTTCCACATACTCTCTGTCTTGAACTTTAACCCTTATTATATCTCCAAGGTCTCTTGTCCTTACTCAGTCTTAATCCTAACGCAATACTTAGAGGGCATGGTCTGCAATTAATATTGGGCATGTTGTAATTTCTTTGACTACCCAAATACTAGCCTTTCCCAAAATAAAGACATCTATACAGGATGCTGTTTTATGCCTGCTAGATATATGGGTAGCTTTGGGTTTTAAACCTAGGGTGCCAGGTGCTTCTTGGAATCCCCAATTACTCAATAGAATTGTTTTATTTTTTGTGATATCCATATTCAAATTACCTGCTATAATAATTTTGCCCTCTGAGAACTGGTAAATTTTTAAAAGTACTTTATTTAGGAATTTATTCTGTCCTTTATTTAGAGAGAAGAAGAAGAGTTTGGATTTGATATCCCGCCTTTCACTCCCCTTCAGGAGTCTCAAAGCGGCTAACATTCTCCTTTCCCTTCCTCCCCCACAACAAACACTCTGTGAGGTGAGTGGGGCTGAGAGACTTCAAAGAAGTGTGACTGGCCCAAGGTCACCCAGCAGCTGCAGGTGGAGGAGCGGAGACGCGAACCCGGTTCCCCAGATTACGAGACTACCGCTCTTAACCACTACACCACACTGGCATAAATGTTCACTATTGTTAACACTTCATTTTCCAGTTTACCTTTAAGCAACATAAATTTACCTTCCTTGTCTAACTCCATTTCTGTCATCTTAATATCTATTCTCCTATTTACGAGGACTGCTACCCCTCTTGCTTTCGCTTTACTTCTTGCTTCTGCTAGTACCTCCCAAGCTGAATTATTAAATAATGTCTTTTTGTCTTTTTTTGGGTTTCTTGAAGACACATTATATTGGCTCCTTGCTCTCTAGCTAGCCTAGAATAACCTATATTGTTTAAGGTCGGATGTAAGACCATTGACGTTCTTCCACCTGGATCTCTGCAACTACTGAGAAGAGTTGTGCTGGCTCCCTGCAGCAGTCCTTGTTTCTGCTAATAAAGAGTTAGCTGCACATGCTCTCTGTGGTTCTTGCTGGCTGGCTCTCTGACAGTTCCTAGGATTCCATGAATCCAACCTCCCTGGAGGAAGGGGGTGCAGTGGGAATAGGACACCCCCCGCTTTTCCTCAAGTAGATTCCTGTGCAGGAGGAAGACGCCAAGGCAGCTCTGGAGCCCCTCCAGGAAATTCTCTGCCAGCGCCCCCAACCGTCCCCTGGCAATGCTTGGCTGGGCTTCCCTCCCCACAACATCCCCCTCCCAGTCTAATGGATCAGATGACACTCCCACCACCACCCTGTTTTAATGTCAAACAACTTTCTTTGGGTGGGGGACAACAGGACCTTGGCCCCTAGGAGTTGACTCCTGGGCCTCTTTCCACCCCCTCCCTGGGGAGTCAATCCTGAGGGCCCTCTTTGGCGATGGGGACCCTCATCTGAAGGACAGGGAAGGTCAGGGTTCGAATCCCAATGACAGGGTGAGCTTCCGTTGCTCTGTCCCAGCTTCTGCCAACCTAGCAGTTCAAAAACATACCAGTACAAGCAGTTTTGGCATTTCTGTGCACTCTGGTTTTCACCAATGTACCCCGTTGCACCAGAAGCGGTTTAGTCCTCCTGGCCACGTGACCCGGAAAATCTGTCTGTGGACAAACGCCAGCCCCCTCGAGTTGTATACCTTTAACCAATTGGTCTTTTCTAATCATATTGAGCAAAACCTCGAGGACCGATATAAAAAGCAATGGGGAGATTGGGCAACCCTGTCTTGTTCCTTTCTCTATCTTAAATTCTTCTGTAACTACATTGTTCACAATAAGCTTAGCTTTTTGTTCCGAATAAATTGCACTTATACCATTTTCGAAACTTTGGCCTACCCCCATCCCCTGCAAATTTTTCTTCATAAAACTCCAAGAAATGTTATCAAACGCTTTCTCTGCATCTACAAATATTAAAACAGCTTTAGTATTGATATTAACTTGCAATTTTTCCAAAATATTAATGATGTTCCTAGTATTGTCTGACAAATGTCTCCCAGGGAGAAAGCCCGCCTGGTCTTTATGAATCTCTTTTACCAATACATTTTTTAGTCTTTTAGCCATAATTTCGACAAAAATTTTGTAATCCACATTTAGTAGGGATATGGGACGGTAGTTCTTCAACTGTGTCTTCTCCACTTCGGTTTTTGGTATAAGTGTAATGTATGCTTCTTTCCACGACTCGGGTGCTTTTCCTCCCCGTAGTATTTCATTACAAAGTTCTTTCAACGGTTGCAGTAACCATTCTTTCAAAGTTTTGTAGTACTTTGCAGTTAGTCCATCCGGCCCTGGAGATTTGCCCAATTTCATATTCTGAATGGCTCCTTCCACTTCTTGATCAGATATTGTAGAGTTTAATATTGATTTACTGTCTTGAGATATTTTTTGTAATCCATTATTTTCCAGAAATCGGTCAATGTCTAATTCTTTCTGAGTCTCCTGCGTATATAACTGTTTAAAATAATTCTGAAAGCACTTCCGAATCTCTCCAGGATTCTGTATATTCTTCCCTTCTACAACCAAGTTCGTAATCGTATTCAGCTTTTGTCTTTTTTCATTTGCCAGGCCAATAACTTCCCACATTTATTTGCCGATTCGAAAGTCTTTTGTTTCATCTGTTTGATCTTCCATTCTATCTCCTGGTTCATCAATTTCATATATTGTACTTGGTATAGCTTTATCTCTTTTAAAATCTCCTGTGAGTTCGGTTTCGCTCTCAGTCTTTTTTCTCCATCCTTAATTTTCTCCAAAAATTTTTCTCTCTTCTCATTTTGATATCTTTTCCTAATTGCATTTTGTTGTATCAAAAATCCTCTCATCACCGCTTTACTGGCATCCCAAATCACTCTTTTTTCTGTCGTAGTATTCAAATTTATTTCAAAATAGTCTCTCAAATTCTTCTGAGCCTTTTAATAATTTCCTCATTCCTAAATAAGGAGTCATTCATCCTCCATCTAAAGGCCCCAATTGGCGTTGATATCATTTCAATCTTTACTGGATTGTGGTCAGAGCAAATTTTCGGGCAAATCACCGCTTTTTTAATTTTAGGAGCCAGTCCTCTAGTTGTCCAGATTTGGTCTATTCTTGTCCATGTCATATTTGCTTCAGAGAAGAAGGTTCCTTCTCTTTCCAAGGGGTTCTTTATTCGCCAAATATCCACAAGATCCATATTGTCAGTCATTTCAAAAAATGTCCTTGGCAGTCTTCCATCTTTTGTCACTGTTTGTCTTTGGGCTTTGTCCATATTTGTAGACACTACTCCATTCATATCTCCCATCAAAATAATGTTGTAATCCATATAGTCCAGGAGAGTTTCATGCAGTTTCTTGAAGAATTCTGATTTTCCCTCATTTGGTGCATATACGCCTATTATCAAAAATTTCTGTCCTTGGAATTGAATTTCAATTGCTA